CTCCCTCCCTCCCTCCCTGCCTCCAAATTAATTGTGGGACAACTAGAATGTGCATGCTTCAGGTCCAGGTCCAGGTCCAGGTCCAGGTCCAGGTCCAGGTCCAGGTCCAGGTCCAGGTCCAGGTCCAGCACTCTTTTGAAAGTCCAAAGAGATCTCCTATAAGATGTGACAAGTGCTTCATAAAGGGCTGACCAGACATTGTCTCTCTATTGAAGCTCGATGTGTCTGGTCTTTCCACCAGCCCAACTCTCAATGGCCATGGGTTGCCACGGTCAGCAGCCAGAGGTCAAGAATGCACCTGCACAGATCTCAAGCCCTGATCATGTCAACCACTTCATTGCTGATGGAGGGTCCTAAATCATATCCCTGGCAAAAACCGTGATGGGAGAAGAGAGAAACCATTACTTCAAGACTGGGACTGCCAACGGTGACATGAAGGTACCTCAGCTGTGGGCTGGGGATGGGAGGAAGGACAGAGCAGAAAAAAGAGTTGCTGGGGCATCTTCATGCCGTGGGTGGGGGAAGTGGTCATTTCCTAGTGGGGACCACCAACTTGACCCTTTTAACCCATCTCCGGATTGCCCCTATTTACCCACCGTTTTCACAACCACCATCCCTCAGAAAGGAAGTTTGGAACCGGTCAAAAGTTGTCAAGTATGGCCAGGTTGAGAGATGGCTGCTTCTTCAAGAGATGGTGCACCACTGTTTCATTCAGAGCAGGTGGCCTAACACCCTCCTCCAAGAAGCATTCAGCATCTCCTGGATCAGGCCACCCCCCACCGACCCCCACTGGGTGCAGTGGCTGCTGGCTGGCTGCCCAAGGAACTAGGAGGGCATGGATCTAGCCCACAGGTACTCCATACTCCAGAAAACCCTCTCTATCTTCTCAAGTTCCACAAGCTTAGGAGAATTCAAAATCCTAACCCAAGATGCTGCCATGATTGCCCCAAGGACTCTGCCCCACTGCTGTCCAGGCCAGAATAGGTACCTGCAGACTCATGTGAATGGGCTGCAGACATCTGTCCTTCTTTCCTTAAGAGAACCTGGGTCCCTCTGAAGAGACCTGCTTGGTGGGACTCCACAGATGCCATGCCTGCAGAGAAGAAGGGACACTTCATGCCTCTGTTGTGAGCTTGGGTCAGTGTCGGGGGGCATCCGGTGTTTGTCTTGCACCAGTCACACTGAGGATCGTTGCAGTCACTTCATTTCCTCCTGCTCCTCAGTAAGCCTTGGTGCTACTTGGGATTGATGACTGGATAGAGGCCTCACTGAAGCAGTCCCCTCCAGCCCTCTAGGTCATCTCTGGGCTCCAGATGTCAGACAGATGTGAGATGGAACTGCCCGCCCAATTGTTGGCAAAGCTCCTGAGCACCTTCGGAAAGACATTTGGATCCAGGAGGTGCCTGAGATGGCCTCTCCTAACCAGGCCGCTGGTTTATTTGTGAATTTATCACAATTTGGCCACAGTTGCATGATGAAAATGAAACGTTTACTATTCCATCTCTAAGGGCCTTTTCTTTCACTCTTCCTTTCCTCTCAGCTCTACAACTTTTCCCCCTAAATCATGAGCTACTTGCCTGGTTATCACCAAACTTCCTTCAAAATCTCATTTATATCCAAAACTTTTTGAACCAAAAAGTGAAGTAACCTGTGTCAACCTTAGATGCTACTGGGGCTCCTCAGGACTTTGATCTTTCTTCTCAAAATGGAGCAGGTGAGACACAAAGAACCCAGAATTAGCATAGCATGCTCTGTGTCTCTCAACCCTCAAGGGACCCTTCAATGGACCATGCACTGATTTATTTTCATATGTAGCCAAATCCCACTAGCTGTTGACGTTCAAGGAATCCATGGTGGGACTTGCCAAGAGGGCTCTGTCCATTACCAAAGCCACTGAATCAGACTGTGCAGGAATAGAAGGATCTGCTAATAATTGATGACTAAATTCTGCAAAGCTTTATAAACCATGGTTGGACATCTGATTAATGTCTGGGGCCAATTCAAGGTGCAGGGGTGTCTTCAAGGAAGGGGATCAAAATGTGCAAGACATCTGCACATCTGGACCCTTGAACTGACTCCATCAAACAACTGATTACCATAATTCTTGAGTAGAACATTTATGTGCTACCAATTCCCATTCATGAAAATGAGGGCCACAAGGATATCTGCCTCTCCCGCCCTTAGACTATCTTGACTGTCTTCTTCCTTGGACTGGGAGCTCTGAAATTTTGCTGGGTTGGAAAAGTTTTAGGAGGATGGAAGTCAACGTTCCCCAACGGAAGCCTCCAAAGATACATTGGACAACTCCCATCATCCTGTTCCCCACAGCCCAGCCATTGACAAGGACTTTAGCAGCACATCTCACCCACATGAGGGATAACAATGCCCCTTCGTTGCCAAGGTCGCAGTTCACTTTTCTCCACGTCCTCTCCCTTTGCAGGAGAAGGACCACCCCAGGACTGAATTTACTATGGGCAACTCAATAATTACCATTTCTGATTTCTTTGTGGCCAGGATAGAAACTGCCAGCACCAGCTTGAGATAACCCTTAGGCTTCTGCTTGAACATCCAGCAGCAGCAGGTTTGTGAAACATCCAGAATGCCACTTTGACCTTAAACGAAGGAGTAGACACCAGAGTCCAGAGTGGGGTCTTTCAACCTTGGCAACTTTAAGATGTGTGGACTTCAACTCCCAGAATTCCCCAGCCAGCATGGTTGAAAAACACTGGTTTATACCGTTCTGACTGATTCCGTTAGGAGCTGGGTAGCATGTTTTCTGAGTAACACGTTTTATTAAAAGGCCCAAGCTTTTGTGAGTGCAGCTCCCTTCAGACACGTAGAGCGGTTAGACTGATGCAGGATTTGAACCGGGGTGAGGTGGGGGAAAGGAGGGGAAGAGAAGCTGGTTTTGCAGATGCCGGTCACAAGTACCTGATCGATGAACGGTTGCAATGTATTAAAACCCTTTGTGCTTGTTAAGACCTTCAGAGGTAGCCTGAAATCTTCTGATGTATGTGAGTTCAGAAACTTCTCCCTCAGTGGTGGAGCGAAAATCCCAATTTTCCACAACAGTCGCTTTGAGGTCTGCTGTGGGGTGTCCTGGAAGGTTAAAACGTTCTGCTCTTTCTTTGCCTATTACGATTAGGAGGTTTTTGGGGACCAAATGTGCTTTTCACACCTTCGGTTTCATTTGCTGCAGGAAAGAGGATCCGCGTTGGAGAAGGACTGGCCCAAATGGCGCTCTTTTTCTTCCTCACCGCCATCCTGCAGAATTTCCGCCTGAAACACTCTCCAGGAGTCACCAAAACTGATCTCGCACCCAGAGTCAGTGGCCTGGGTAACCTCCCTGTTTCTGCTGATGTGCATGTTGACACTTCATTTAGAATTTGCAGGATGGATACCAAAGAAGGAGAACGCTACGGGAGACGCCAGGACGTTAATAAATCTTGAAAAGGGTTTATGAAGAAATCTCCCCTGAATACTTGCAGCGTCAGAAGGACCCCAAAACAGCCGGGTGAGCCCCAACGGCATGGGGAGGTTGCATTCCGGAACTCGACTCACGAGGAGGCTGGGAAAAAGGGTAAATCTTATGGGCCCTTTTCCCCACTCTCCCACCCCTTGGAATCCGCACCTCTCGTTCTGGGACAATTCGCAAGGGGAAATCAATGTTTGTGTTTACCTTCATTGGAGAGGGAGAGTTGACAGGAGAGTTAGCAGACACACAACGGGGAGTCCCCATTGAAAGGAATCCTCGGTGCCGGCTGTTTGCCCGGCACGCTGGCGGCTGCGATCCCGCAAGAAAGCCTTTAGGATGAAACCGAAAAAGGCCTTTGCCAGTTTCAGATAGCGGCACAAGCCGGCCACGGGCGCTAATTAGCTTGCCAGCACTTTTTAGAGAAGCGCTGCGGTACAAAGAAGAGCCGTCCAGGAAGAGGCAGCTTGTATAAGCAATCTCTCCCCTCTGCAAGGGGGAAATGCCGCCAAGGGGAAGTCCAGATTTGCTTCTCCCCACACGAAGCAAGAAGGGTACCTCTGAAGCAGTATCCGCGTGTTCTCCCAAAGGGCTTGCCTCGAATTCAATCTTCTCATTCTTTCTGGTTTGCTTCCTTTCCAAAAGGCTCTTGCAAACGTGCGAGCTGGTCCCGGAATGAAGAGTTCTGACTTTTCCTCCGAATGCGTCTTCGAAGGAGAGGCAGCACAGCGTCTGAAATGCATTCACGCAGTTCTGCATAGAACAGGAGCACTGCATCCCCAGGTTAGTCACCTGGGCCAAAAAGATCACTGAAGGCTGGTGGCATTTTACAACCTGGCGTCGACTGGCAACTCTCTGAGCTGAGATCCGCTGGAGACTCGGTTTCTGTGCTAAATTTCACTCCTCCCATCTCTGTAAAGGTGGGA